AAAAAAAAAAAGACTCCAAATGTGGCAGATGTGTGCTTGGTAAGTCATGTATGTAAAATTTCAAAAGATTAAGTACTTTGAAAATGCACTAAGGGAACATAGCTAAAGAGATTTTGCAACTCCTGTTGAAAAGTGAGCATTAAAAAGTAGTTGAGTGTTTGTATTGGATTCATAGATGCAAGGTGTATATAAACATTCAAGATAATTTACTACTTTTTAGAAAAAAGAGCAAATATCTTTTTCTTCCTAAATTATTTAGTATCTCTTGCTTTCAGAACCGCACATATGATTTGGTCATTGGGTTGCAAAATTGGTAGTGGCATAAATTTTATCTAATTTCCATGTTACATAGTGTGTAAGTGAAGCAAATTTAGCACTTTAGAAGCTGAATGTGATCTGGTTTTGGGTTCTTGTGGTTTCTAGTCCCTGACTCAGTCTTTTCTATTGGGGGGCTAGGAGGAGAAGACTGTTCCTTATTGTTTATTATTTTTATTTTTCTGATGGGTTTAGATATTTGGCTCTAGATTATAGCCAAAACTTTATGATAAGATTTGTCTTTGTTTCCTTTTGATCTCCTCTCCAGGACTTTATTCTTTTTTTGTCCACCTTCAGTGGCAGACATGGAATAGTAGCATGTTGTTTTACAGAAGATCATTAGGTTTACGTATTTTGTTTATGTTTCTGTCTTCATACATCAATTTTCACTTGAGATCGAGACTTACAAGAGAGACAGGAAGACTTGCACAATCAACAATAGTAATTAAAGTGTCTGATAAAATTGATGTGTTAACGAATAGTAAATTAGAAATAATCTCAGTATTTGGTGAAATGTATTCCTCTGTTGTAGAATAACAGATAACATTGGACCAACAGAAACCTCAATTGCACCAAGACAAAGACCAAAGGCCAACTCTACTACTGCCACTCCCAGTGTTCTGACTATTCAGAGCTCAGCAACACCTGTTAAAGTTCTCGGGCCCGGTGAATTCGGTAACCACAGACCAAAAGGTAATGGCAACAAAGTCAACCCCTTCCTCTTTATTGGTTACTTAAATACAATCATATATAGTTCTGTTTTCTAAGGGTGTAAGTTACTGAATTATGTAATTAAGTAATAAGTAACTGAATTAAGTTACTGGCAAGCTTAATTCAGTATTGGAAGCAGATAACATAAAAGTCTTAAGAAACTTTCTACTGATGTCTTAAACTCAACTGCTTTCCTAAAGTTGTACAAAAAGGGAAATAAAAAAGATTACAATTTTCTTTGAGCCCATAAATACCTACTCTTAGCCTGAGTCACCAAATAGTGGGCCATAGCGTTGATAATAGAAGTTCAGAGGTACAGAAAATTCGGTGTTGTATTGGAAAGGAGGAAGTATTTGCAGTGAATCAGCAAAGGAATGTATCTTACCATGTAACTTAAAGAAATTATCAGGTTTTGAGAAAAATGATTTTTTTCATATAAAATAACTTCTGGGCGTTATGATACAGTATGATTAAAAAAAATCCTGAAGTAAATACTGCTACTGTTTACTGAAGTAAGCAGCTAGAGTGGGTGAAAATGTTAAACAAAATTCAAGTTCAGAAAAAAAGACCAGATTTAGGAGTTTGACAGGCTGGAGGAACATCTAAGACAATGTTCTAACTCGGGACTGAAGCCACCACTCCCCGAGACAAACTTCCATCAAGTAATAAATGAGTGTTCCAAATAATCATCACTCAGAAGAAATATGCTCCTTAGAACAATCCATTATCTGCCCAAAATCAAAAATGAAAAGGTAGGGAAAGGCAGGGAAAATTTACAAATGGAAATGAACTGAGGGAGGGAATAGGGGCACACAAACCACCTCACTTATGAATTTGCGTATGAACTACTGAATATAAAACAGCATTAGATGCAGAGCAAAGCCTTCCTTCCTAAAGCCTCCCTAAACAGCTAACACAAGTCCAAATCCTTTAATAAGTCTTTTGAATCAGCATTTTATGCAGATGCCTCATGTGTCCTGGCAAGAGTACCATATATGTTCATGTATAACCCATGTTTTTCAGCCCGTTTTTAATGCAGTTTTGATGGTAAAATTAGGTGCCTTGGCCAATATTCAGGTTGGCTTATACTCGAGTATATATGGTAATAAAACCCAAGTTGTTCAAACAGCAGGTATGTTCCTAGTAGTCTGTGGCTGGAGAACACTGACACAGGAAAGATAAACTGATAGGAGTTCCAACCCCCAAATCTAAGTAAAAAAGAGAAACTAGCACAATGGACCAAAAAGCCCCCTGGTTCTGTGCCATCCACAGGGTCAATTGTACGAGTATATCAGACCATTGTGATCTATAATGTTTTCACTCGCTGGCTTTTAGAAGTAGATTCCTAGACCTTTCTGCCCAGTGCATCTTTTGGGGAAACTAATGAAACTAGTTCAATATCATAGCAACACGTGTACAAGCCTCACTGAGATTTGGAGTAAATTAACTACTGTTCTTTGAGTTCTTTTGTTCTGTTTTGTTGTGGCCCTAACATGCTCTGTAAGTTTTGTAGACATACTTTGTATTACAGAGAATGTGTGAGATCTGCCTTGATAGAAGAATTCTGTATTAGATTGAGCTTGTTAATTGTGTTTTTCAGAGTTCTTCTATCCTCAGTTTTGTTTACCTCATCTCAGAGAGGTGATTTCAGTTAAGACCATAGATTTGTTCATTTCTTCTTATACGTCTCTCAGTTGTTATTTTATTATGAAGCTATTTTAGATGTACTAGCGTTGAGTATTTTAATTATATCCGTATATCTCTGGTGGTTTTGGCCTTTCATTCTCTCTCTTATTAATGTTCATATAGTTGCTTTCCTTTTTGTAGTACTTGCTTTATATCCTTTCAACCCTTTTATGTAATTTCATTTTAAATAATATAAATATTAGATATTTTAATTTCTTTATTTTTTAAAACTGTGATTATTTCATTCTTATTTACTGTGGTTGCATGCTTATGCTTACTAACAACATTCTATGATTTCTGTCTACCAAGAATCTTTAGTGCTGTTGTAGTTTGTTATGTTTTTTATTATGTGTATTATGTTTATTTCTTTTAATCCTTAGGCTGGATAAAGATATCTTTATTTTTTTTAATGGCTTGGGAATACTTATAAATACTACTTCTTTTTAATGTATTATTCTGTGGTATATCTTATAGATAGCATTACTGATGTCTAGGGTGAGTTTGGGAGTGGGGATTGGGCAGTCATCTTTGTGGTTGTGAGTATGAGTGAGCTGCTCGAATTTTAGAGAAAGGATTGCAAGGTTACATGCCATCCAATAGATTATATTGGAGATATTACTCATCTTAAATTATCAATCAGACCTCTGCTTGTTAAAGTCAGGTTTAAGCAAATTTGTTTTCATTTGCAACTCAGAATATATACCTTCTAAATAAGACTGTAAGCTTAATACACTTCATTCAGTGTGTGAAGTGAGGAGTTGGCCTCACAAGGCATTATATAAAGAGCTTTGATTTCACATGGTCTTTCATCTCTAATTTTCCACCCACATCAAGGCTCTAAAAGATGATTGTATCTCTGAGGAGCTGAACTTTTTAGTTTAATTTTTAATGATTCAATTTCAAGACTAACAGGAACATGTATAATTAGAAGCGAAAGTAAAAGTTAGAAACTTTTCATAGAGGTGGTGGAGAAAAGGTTTAGGGAGGGTTGATGATACTAACAGTGATGAAAAGGGATCCTTCTCTGCTTCCTTGAATTTTCCTTCCCTTCTTTACCCTTAGGATGGTACATTTGTAGTTTGAATTTAGGTTAAGTCACTGAATGAGAATATAAGAAGCATATTGCTGTGTTTCTTATTTTTGGTGGTGTATATAGCTTAGTTTTATTTTAGTTTCAAAAGTTTCTTCATTGGATTTTCTTTTTTTTTTCTTTCTCTTTTTAAACATTTTATTAGGGGCTCATACAATGGATTTTCATAGGGTAAATTTTAAGCAGCTAATAAATACATATGTGCAGGTGTCACTGTAATTAGATTTTAGTATTGCAACATGCATTGAACTTCTGTTGTATAAAATATTCTTTGGGACCCCAGCAGATGAGTACATCATTTTTCTACTCCTTAGGGTCCCTATTTTGGAAATAGCCAAATAAATAATTAATTACATATGTGCTGGGCCGAATGTAGTATATTAAATGGTAAGTAAATGAACAAAGAAGAGATATTTGAGCTAAAATTTAAAGGAGAAGTTCAGTAGGTTGAAAATGGCAATTTTTTTACTTCCTGTAAAGATGTTGATCTAGATAGACATACCGTACAATCTCTCTTCAATAGAAGTGTGAGAAAACAGATGCAGAGGAAACACCTGGAGCCCTAACACTCTGAAGGAAGGGGGGAAAAAAGCAAAGTGAGCATAGCAGCAGTAGCATGTGAAGCTGTGGTAGGTGGGGTCCTGAACTATCCCTGGTAGCCCCCACCATTCTGTGGCACCTGGCTAAGGTCTGTTTTTAAATGAAGGGCACTAGAAGGGCAGGGCCCGTATTTTTGATGATTACCAAGGGGAAGAAGGGAAGGGGAAGCAACAGGCTAGACTGCAGTGTTCCCAAAATGTTACCTGGTATTGATGATTTTGTGGGCATTTTATGACGTTCCCCACCCCTGATGTAGAGGGTAGACAGATGTCAACTTGGGTGATGGGTAGGATAATGTAATAAAAGAGGGAGATGGGGAATATAGAAGTTTCTATATTATAAAGATAAGAGTGCTTTGGTTAAACGATCATTCAGATGATTGTTTTGGAATCAAAATAATTCGTATGTTAATACAAGTTTTTCTAAACCTATTTTAGGAGCCCTGAGACCTGGAAATGGCCCAGAAATCTTACTGAGTCAAGGTCCCCCTCAGCAGCCTCCACAGCAGCATAGAGTACTTCAGCAACTACAACAGGGAGATTGGAGATTACAGCAATTTCATTTACAGCACCAGAATTCTCTCCAGCAACAGCAGCAGCAGCAGCAGCAGCAGCAGCAACTTCAGGATGCTTACATGCAGCAGGTGATTCTTCTGCTATTTTATATATGGATTTAGAAAGTAGTATTGTCAAATTCATGTGGCGTTTGAGTATCATGAGCATGTATTTGGATACTAGACTCAAGTAAACATTTTACCCAATTTCCTAAGTGATTTTAAAAAGGAGTATGTGTTTAATTTGTATTCTTTGATTTATTTACGAAAATTCCATTGAAGTTGATTGCATCAAGGCTTTTGTGGTATTAAAAAAATGAGCATTTTTTTACTTGGCTTCATGAATATGCACTGTAGATTGATGTTTGAGGCTGTGTTTTAACCTCAGTTATATAGATTAATGATAGGTGGGAAGGTGTTAACAGGGTGTGATAGACAGGGTTCTCTAGAGAGATAAAACCAAATTGCTGATAATTTAATATATTTATTTATAAAGACAATTAGATATGTAACACAAGAAATGAACT